TCCTACAGAAAGACTTCTCAGATTGCCCCTCTATAATCCAGGCCCTTCTGCTCTGCTTCCATGACCCTATACCCTTTCTCCTAATCAGGGCAATAATAATAGTTAACAATTTTTGAGCGTTCACTTTGTGTTAAGGTTACTTGAGTTATTGAAGCAGTATCACATAGTAATTAAATATGCAAACGTTAAGACTAGACTTTCTGGATTTGAATCCTGGCTCAATCAATCACTTAGAGGGCTGTGAAACTTAGGCAAATGACTTAATCTCCCTTTGTACCTCAGTTTCCTCATCTGCAAAACAGGAATAAGAATAGCACCTATCTCATAGGACTGTTGTACATGTGAAGGGCCCAGTACATGGTAAGTGCTTAATAAATGTTAGCTAATAACTATTATTCTGTTAATGACTCTGATTCACAGGTGGAGAATCTAAGGCGTAATATGACTTCCCCTTGATTACATAGGTGAGTAGCAGAAGTGAGACTTGACCTTGACACCAAGATCCATGCTGCACTGCCTCCCATTGTAGAACCCAGTGCGCTGGGTGTAATAACTGCCTACTTTTCAGTCTTTCCCTCTAGACTGAGTGTTCCATGAGGGTCAGTTCTGTCACCCTTGTCCAAGGACATAGTTGAGACCCTAATTAAATGAATGAACTAATGATGCTGAACAGCTCAGATAAGTTATTCAGAAGATGGAGGTGATAGTCATAACACCCTGGCTTCCCCTGCAGTGTGCTTGGAAAAATGTTTCAGTGCTTTCTTGTAGGATTAGTCTCTTAGCAGACAAATATTTATTGGTTTCTGGAGGTGCTTTTATTGGGAAAAACCATGTTAGGAATAGCAGGCAGGATTCCCCCAGATAAGCTTCTCCCTAAGCAAGCCCTGTCCTTGGCTAGGCAGCCTCCCCCAGTCTGACAACAATGCCTTCCCTCATCAGCCGCCCCCAGGATTGGGATGTCCACCTGCCAGCTCCCTGCTTCAAGGAAATAGAGCATCAGAGACCTTAGTGGCTTCAGCATGAGCATAAACATCACCAGCTGCCAGGGAGGATGACGTCAAACACAGGCCTGGCTGGCCATGGCCTTGGGGAGGCTCCCTGCACAGAGAGGCCTGGTGCCCTGGGGGTCACTGTGAGAGGCAGCACAAGCTGAGAACTGCCAGTTCAGGACCCTGAGGACACATTTGATGGTTCTGTCCATTCTCAAGGACCCCATAACTTGAAAGATTTTTCTTTCCAAACCCACTGATGTCAGAAATCAAACAGTTATTCCTTTTCTTTTCAGAGCCTCAGATCAGCATGAACTCTTGGGCTTGATATCATTCCACCTAAAGCAAAGCCTCTATGCCTTTGAGGTTAAAAGAACTGGCTTGAGTCCCAAACTGCCTGGGTCCACCACTTGTCTTTTTTTTTTTTTTTTTTACCACTTGTCTAAATTAGTTCTGATTCTGAGCAATTTCCTATACCTCCCAGAGTCTCAGTTTCCTTCTATGAAAAATGGGTAGAATAGTATCTAATTCACAGGATCTTGGTTGGGATTAATGTGTATTCAGTGAATACCTATCATGTGCCAAGTACTGAGGTCATACTGGTGAACAAAACATAGTCCTTGCTCCATGGTGTTTGGTGAAGGAAAACAGACAATAAAGCAATTAATATTTAATACAGCAGATGGTGGTAAGTGCCATGAAGATAGATAAGGCACAGCAGGAGGATAAAGTGTCAGAGTGGGATGGAGTCATTTCACTTCTGGGTGGTCTGGGAAGGCCTTTCTGCTGAGATGACTTCTGAGCAGACCCCTGAGCGAAATGAAGAAGTAATTCATGGGGCCATCAGGGAGAAAGCTCTTCTATGCAGAGAAATGAGCATGTGCAGCAGTCCTGAGGCAGAGGCATGCATGGCATGTCCAAGGAAAGGCAAGAAAGCCAACGTAGCTGGAGTGAAACGGGCAAGAGGTAGGGAGAAAGTATGGTGTGAGAGAGGTGGCTGGGGGTAGGGTGTATAGGACTAGCCTATTCTAAGGACTTGGGTATTTACTCTGAATGAGATGGAAGCCATGGAAGGATTTCGAGCCAGAGAGGAAGATGATCTGACAGACTTTAAAGAATCCCTCTAGGGGGCACCTGGGTGGCTCAGCGGTTGGGTGTCTGCTTCGGCTCAGGGCGTGATCCCAGAGTCCTGGGATGGGGTCCCACATCAGGCTCCCCGCATGGAGCCTGTTTCTCCCTCGGCCTGTGTCTCTGCCTCTCTCTCTCTCTGTGTCTCTCATGAATAAATAAATAAAATCTTTTTTTTTTTTAAATCCTTCTGATTGCCATGTAGGCAATAGACTGTAGGGGGACCAGGCAGCAGGAAGACGAGTCAGGAGGCCATGGTGGTTGTCCAGGTGAGAGGTGAGGACATCTTTGATCAGATTGGTAACAATGGGGAGTAGGAAATGGTCAGATTCTGGATGTGCCTGAAGGAAGAGCTGGCAGGATTTGTTGATGGACTGGATATAAAGTGTGTGTGTGTGTGTGTGTGTGTGTGTGTGTGTGTGTGTGTGTGTGAAAGAGAGAGAGAGAGAGAGAGAGAGAGAGAGAGGAATCAAAGATGACTCCCAAGTGTTTAACTTGAAGAATGGAGTGATCAGTTAGTGAGGTGGAGAGGGCAATTTGTATAAAGTCCTTACCATGGATATGGGCACAAAATAAATGCCCAATAAATATTAGCTATTCTTTTTATTGATGATTTTGGGTTCCTGGGTTGTCCAAACTCAAACACCTGAGGCTTTAGAAATGTTGAGCATACCTGGCAATAACATCATAAGCATCATGCTCAAGTATGTGCTGTGAGCCAACCACATGATAGAATCTTTACTTAGCAGTACCACACTGCGAAGTGTACAAAAGCCCTACGAGAAAATGAATATTTGTTGAATCTTTAATATATTTCAGACATTTTTCTTTTTTAAAAATATTTTATTTATTCATGAGAGACACAGAGAGGGGAGAGGCAGAGACACAGGCAGAGAGAGAAGTAGGCTCCATGCAAGGAACATGATGTGGAACTTGATACCGGGACTCCAGGATGATGCCCTGGGCCGAAGGCAGGCGCCAAACTGCTGAGCCACCCAGGCATCCCAGACATTTTTCATTTAATCCTTTCTCCACCACTAGAATGTAAGTTAAATGAGAGAGATCTTACACCTGGAGTTCCTACCACCCATGGCTGGCACATAGTAGGCACCTTAGTTAATATTATTAAATGAAATCTCATTATTATATTATAGGTGGAGGCTGAGTAACTTCCCAAAGTAGAGCTGGGTTCTGATAAATATTTATTGGATAAAGGGATGAATAAATGGGTATTACATTCCCATTTTAGAGAAGAGTAAACAGTTGGTGGCAAACCAAAGATTTGAACCCAGGATTTCCTGATCCTTGAGCTTGGACCCTTTCCATGGCCATACTATGGAGCCTCATGTACCATTTGGCTGTGTTTGAGGATGTCTAGGGATTTGACAATCTTGATGTATCACATGGCGTACCATAATATGTAAAAACCCAGCCTAAGCCCGGGTGGCTCAGGGGTTGAGCGCTGCCTTCGGCCCAGGGCCTGATCCTGGAGACCCAGGATCGAGTCCCACGTCGGACTCCCTGCATGGAGCCTGCTTCTCCCTCTGCCTGTGTCTCTGCTTCTCTCTCTCTCTGTGTCTCTCATGAATAAATAAAATCTTAAAAAAAAACCCGGCCTACTCAGAGAAAGGGATATCTAATGCGACATCAGATTGTAACTCTCTGGTAGCACGACCCTAAATTTTTGTCTTTGTGAAACTGCATAGCCTTACAACATTTGTTTTACCTTATTTGCCCAAAGTCACAGGGTGTAAGGAATGGAAACAAAATGTGAATCTAGTCTTCCCACACTGGAGTTCCTGTTTGTTCCCCTACTCTGGGTTCGTTTGTTTATTTTTTAGATTTTATTTATTCATGACACACAGAGAAAGGCAGAGACACAGGCAGAGGGAGAAGCGGGCTCCATGCGGGGAGCCTGATGAAGGACTCATCCCAGGACCCCAGGGATCATGACCTGAGCCAAAGGCAGATGTTCAACCACTGAGCCACCCAGGTGACCCTAATTTTAATTTTTAAAACTGTCTTTAGAGGAGTAGAAGGGAGAAAAAGGAAGAAGTGGGGGAAGGGGGTTTGAAGAGACAAAACAGATGTTAATTTTTGCTTCGAGTTTCAATGGAGAGAAGGCTAACATGACTAAAGAAGCCAAAAGTTAAGGATGTTGAGGCGGAATTAAAATCCAGATTTTCGGACAGCGGTTTAGCGCCAGCGGTTTAGCGCCGCCTGTAGCGCGCGGGGTGTGATCCTGGAGACCCGGAATCGAGTCCCGCGTTGGGCTCCCTGCATGGAGCCTGCTTCCTCCTCTGCCCTGTGTCTCTGCCTCTGTCTTGCTCTCTCTGAATAAATAAATCTTTAAAAAGTAAAATAAAATCCAGAATTTCTGGATTCCAAGGGCTCCTCCTGGTTCCCGTTGCTACTCATTCATTCACTCATTCATTTGTATTGAGTCCCTGAAATTCCAGGCTCTGGGAAGGCTGCTATGAAAAACTCTGGAATCACAGAGTTCATATTCTAGTAGGAGAAACAAACTTAATAACGATGACGACGATTGTGTCAACTGCGATGAAAAATGACGTCACAGGAGAGGGAGGAACGGGGTGGTCTGAGCTGGAACCTCCAGCAGCTGTCCGCAGACTCCAACTAAGACACAGCTTCCGGACGCCCGAGCGCCCTCCATAAATCCCCCTTTCGTACTTATCCTCGCCTCGCCTCACCAGGGTGGGAACAGTAGGAGGAGGAGGTGCACAGCGCATGCTTCCTCAAAACTGGGGGCTCTGAGGATTTTAACTGGGACTCCGACAGCCGGGAGGATAGTACGCAGGCTACTTGCGTTAAGGCTCCGCCCAATAGGAGCTTGCGCTTGGGGTTGTGGTCCCACCCCCCAGCCCATTTTCCACTTCCGCTTCCGGCGTTGAGGCTGTCCAGTTCGAAAATGGCGTCGGCGGCGGCTGTGTTCCGGCTCTCTGGGCTGCTGGGTCGGTCCGGGGCACAGCTGGGGCGGTCCATGTCGAGCGGCGCCCACGGCGAGGAGGGCTCAGGTACTGGAGCTGCGGTTGGCGGGGCGGGCCTCAGCCCCACTCGAGCGAGGCAGGGCAGGACTGTGACCTTGGCTTGAGGACTTGGGGTGGGGGAGGCGAGCCTCGGGCTGGGTCCCCACACCAGGCCTAAGAGTCGTGCCCCCTCCACAGCTCGCATGTGGAAGGCCCTCACCTACTTCGTAGCGCTCCCTGGCGTGGGAGTGAGCATGCTGAACGTCTTCCTGAAGTCGCATCACGGAGAGCACGAGAGACCTGAGTTCATCGCCTACCCCCATCTCCGCATCAGGTCCAAGGTACGCCTTTGTAGGCTTTCGAGTATCCGTTCTCCTTTTATTACAAATGCCTAGTCCAAGTTCTTAGTTCTCTATAATCGTGCGCAATTTATCATATAATTCTTACAAGTTTTTATTTTCTCCGGTTTTATGGGGAAGTAACAGCCTTGGGGGGGGGTCACATCTGTTTTCTTTTTCAAGGTCATACAATAAGAGTCCTTCAGTTTTCCTTTTCTGATCCATCCCATCTCTGCTTTCTGATACTGTCCCGAAACGGTTGTCGGTTGTATGAGACTTGGATGTTTGGGAATCTCCCTTAAAGTGGCAAAATGGGAACGTGGTTTACCCTTCTACGACCTGGGCATCTGGCAGGTACTAGCTGCATAATGAGGAAACTAACAGCTTTTCCTATTCCGACCTCTGCTAGTTATTTTCTGAAGTGTTTTATCCTTTGCTGTTGATGTAGATGCAATGCATTTGTTTTCCATTGCTTGTTGTAAGTATTCTTAACAAGAGGCCCGTCTGGCTCTTTAATAATTATTACTTGACTTAGAGGAGATGGGACTGGCCTTAAAACAACTTAAGCTAGATTCTTAGATTCTGAAAGAATTTTTTGAGTCTGAGCCCCACTCCCACCCTTGTACAATAGATGTAAAAACCATATAGCAGGGTTATCAGTCTCTGTACTATTGACATTTGGGGCTGGATAATTCTTGTTGGGGCAAGGGGCTATCCTGTGAGTCCTGGGATATTTAACAGCATCCTCAACCTTTGCCCACTGGATGTGCTGTCTCAGATGTCTCCAGATATTGCCCAATGTCCTTGGAGGAGCAAAATCATCCACGGTTGGAAACCACTGCCCTACAGCATTGTTTTTCAAAGACAATGAGCAAAAACATTGAGGGTGAGGTGCCTGGGTCGCTCAGTGGGTTAAGTTAGATACAATTCAGGTGATTCCTTGCTCAGTAGGAAATCTGCTTCTTCTCCTCCCTTTGCCCCTCCCCTCTGCTCATGCTCTCTCGTTTTCTGTCTCAAATCTTTAAAAAAAAAATTTTTTTTTTTTTGAGGAGGGTAGGTTGCAGTTTCCAATCCAGAGGTTTGTTTTAGGTCTGGAATAAAGCCCAGAAGTCTGCATTTAAATAAGCATCTCCTCTCATTTACCCACCTCTACCATTCTGATACAGATCATGTGTGGATTATACTTACATAAACATTGCACTGATAGACTAATTGCCAGGGAGAGGCTTATGAATAATGAACTTGAGGTTGCTTTTCCTACTGTCTACTTTAAAGGCTCTCCTGAAAGTTATAAGAGAGCTCCATTAAATTACGGGAAGGCTGAAATACGCCAGTAGTTAAAGGACTAATTACCATTTTGTTGTTATGTATTGTCTGTCACTTCCCCTTTATCTTAAGCAGTTAATGGCAGTGCTGTTTATGAATTTTTTCTGGAATTGCCTAATTGACATCTTCACTCCACAGCCCTTTCCCTGGGGAGATGGTAATCATACTCTATTCCATAACTCTCACGTGAATCCACTTCCAACCGGCTATGAAGATGAATAAACAGAACCTGGACCACCACCCAGTGGGGACCACAGGACTGGTTTGGACCATGACTCTGCACACGGACCAGAAAAGTATATGGGACCTTAAGCTCACCTTCCTTACTTTGATGACCAGTATACTGATCCTCCATCCTTTTGCTTATGGCAGGAGATGGCTTAAATAAATAACTTAGATTGGTCCATGATCTGAGAGTTGTATTCTTTGTTTTTCCCTCCAAAATCAGCATTAAGGTTATTTTTGTTTATGTAATGAAGGTTTATGGCTGCTGCATACAGGCCTCTGGATAACATTGTTTATAATAGGCTTGTCCTTGGTTTCTTATGTCTGGGGGCAGGGTGGGTAAAGCAAAGGGACCATAAGTGGAGCTAATTTAAGTATCAAGATTGGGTCCTGACAGACTTTGGATGGCAAAGATATTGAGTGGCTGCCAGTAGAATATGTGCAATTTACAGAAAAGGGGATCTTTGATTCTCCAGAGGAAGTACTTTCTCTGTGTCCTAGCTTTCTCTTGTCCCATTCTACCAGCATTTGCTGAAGAATACTCCCTATAGTCAGGTAATTGTCTCCAAAAGTGTCAAGTTCTCATCTTGGGGTCTTCTCTCAGCACCCTGAAGGGTGAAAGGATTAGGAACTCTTGGAGAAATAAAGGCAGTATGACACACTCCATATAGCATTAGCTTTATTTGTTTCTGGATTTAAAACCTTCCTGTAGCATTAAGAATTAGGGAGAAACAATAGTAATAGTAACAAAATCACCCTTAAAAGAGCACTTAATTTCTCTTCAAAATTAATCTTGAAGTAGCTGAGATAGTTGGAGTCACTTTATGGGCAGGATGAAGTCAAAATAGAACAAAGAACAATTGGGCTCCTGGGTGGCTCAGTAGGTTAAGCGTCCAACTCTTGATTGCAGCTCAGGTCATGATCTAAGATTTGTGAGATTGAGCCCTGCACTGGACTCCATGCTATGTGAAGCCTGCTTTTAAGATTCTCTTCTCTCCCTCTCCTTAAGAAAAAGAACAATCAGAAAAAATTACTCCTTCAGTAGTAATTACAATGAAAGAACATGGTTGGCTTGGAGTGTTTTATTCTTGAAGCTCAACTGGTTTTATACTAAGATTCAAGAAGCTACCAGGTTTTGGTATTGCATAGTACATACAGTAAACTAGTACCACAAAGGTGAGACATATGGAAACAGGGTGTGAAAGCCTTTTATAGTAAGAGAAAAAAAGGATCCCTGCCATCTTTACCATTTTGTGATCTAACCACAGGAGAGAGGATAATACAATTTCCACCTTCTGTAAATTGTTTTATACCATATTGGGTGGATAGCATTGAACCAAATTATTCAAGACCTGCAATTTTGGTGACTACCTAACTTTCCAAAGTGTGTAAAATGCTCACCTGATCCTGACATCTTTTGTGCAGTTATAGAAGCATATTATTTACGTCGCTTGCTCTAGGAATAAATTTTAGAAATCAATGATGTTTCTAATTGTTTTAGCACACTATTTACCTTAGATAAATCTTCACTTTTTCTTCACCTTTAAATTATAACACCCCCCCCCCCCCCCGCAATATATGGGATATATAGGGTTACAGTGTAATACTTGTTCTGTAAAGTGCAGAGCTCTCCAGGGGCAAATAATGAAACTAAATGTTACAATTTATTCCGTCTTCATGATTACAGACATTGGAGGGCAGGGTGGGTACACAAAGCAGATAAAACAAACTCTTGTCCCATTTAACCAGATGCAGCATTTTAGCAGTTTTATGGTAATATAGGTAGATCTAATTAATTGACTTGGGCTGAAAGCTGGGAACAGCAAATCTCTGCAATTTAGGCCAAGGATCTTAATTCCTAAACTATACTATGAGCTCTGAAATGGTGTGTGTACTGCAACATTCTCCAAGCTTTCACACCTTAATCAGAAATCTGACACCTTTTCTTAAGGCAAGGAACTCTTAAGGCTGTCTTCCTCTTGGCTAACCCAGTCCACCAGCAATCTTAAAAGTTGTTAAATAAAACCGTTCCCCGGTTTAAAACCGTTGTTCTGGAATCCCTTTTCAGAGTCTTGGCTCCCTGAGAGAAGAGAGATCCTAACCAGTTGCTTCCATGAATAATAATAACCCTAGTACAATCTACCTAATGTCCTTTGAAGCAAACTCAAGAGGTCAGGCAACCCTGAACATCCTGACAGGTTTATCAGTATTTACATACAAAGGATATTTAAAGCTGATCCTAGACCAAATATTGCAACCATAATCCCAAGAAATTATTCAGTTTTAGCAGGTGAGGTTCCTGCAAGATGCCACAGCACGAGTGAGAAATCATCTCAAAGCAAAGAGTGATGGTTCATCATCTTTTACAAGTGAGAGGAAATCAAGGAGAAAAGAAAACTCCCTCCTAAACTCCTCATCAAATCAATGGCTATTTTCACGGCCTTAATTGATGAGATCCAGTGTCCTCAATTTCCTGATTGGAGGAGTCTATTTTCAAGGTGACAAGTTCAAGAAGAGCTTTCAGGCTTTTCTTTGCCATGGCCCATGAATTCCAGTCCTTCAATGGGAATCTCCTTCTCCTTTATTGCTTTCTGACGGGAGAAGAAAACACATGATACAGATCTATACGAAGCCTGAGGACCAAACTTTGTAAATATGATGGTACAGAAGTAAATCAGATCACACCAAAAGGCCACCCAACCATGATTCAACACTTGTACTCTTTTTAACCCGAGTACCATTACAGAGAAATTAAATGTAAGGCCAAAGAAGAGATTGGAAAGGAATTGTGATGAGGGGCTCCTGGATGGCTCAGTCAGTTATGCGTCTGCCTTCAGCTTAGGTCATGATCTCAGGGTCCTGGGATCGAGCCCCACATTGGGCTCCCTGCTCAGTGGGGAGCCTGCTTCTCCTTCTCCCTCTGTTGCTCCCCCTGCTTGTGTGCAGGCGCTCTCTCTCTCTCTCTCTCTGCCAAATAAATAAATAAAATCTTAAAAAAAAAAAAAGGAATTGTGATGAGTCGTCCATGTTTCATACGTGGAATTTAAAGTTTTCCACTGTTATGACAGACACAAATTCAAACCTGAGTTCCAGGACTTTCTGGCTAAGTGAACCTGAGCAAGTCTCACTTTCCTATCTGTAAATGGTATACAGATACCAACTTGTAATGACCCTGAAGATGTTTTAAGTTAACTAATTGGGAGTGCTGTGCTCAGTGCGGTTCTTAAAATCCAAAGCAGTTTCACATTCATTGAGCTGGAATGAAAATTTCCTAGCGGGTTGAGAGAGAGAACAGGACAAAGGAATTACAACAAAATGAGACCCTCAGGTCTAACAGCTCAGGCCAACACCCTGCTCCCCCCCCCCCCCAACAATAGTGGAACAGTGCACCACCTCAAAAATCAAGGAAATGATTCTGGTGAACTTGAACTAATCACTTCCTATTTGGGGGCATAAACGTTCCATGTATAAAAATATGAACAACTATGCCCACTTAATGAGTTTGAGCACCAAATGAACCAAAGGATGTTCCTGTGCTCCGTAAAATGTAAAGCACTGTAAGAACATTTGTCATTCAGAGGGATACCGGCTGGCCTTAGTGCTGATGGTGGGGAGAAAGCCCCCGCCACTGCCCTCACTGAGGCTTTTCTTCAAATCCTTCCCACCCCAACTACCGCCAGGTACTGCGCGTGTGGCCGGGGACACCGCAGCGAGAACCAGGAGCCAGGGGATGGAGACGAAAGGGCCCTGGCCACCTAAGGGCTCACCTGAACACACTGCTGATAGCGCTTGAAGAGGTCGGTGCACGGGTCTCCGGAGCCGTCCCCTTTAAGGAACTTCTCTGCAAACCAGCGATTGAAGCACTGGTCGTACTCGCGCTTCATGTCGGTGCAGGCCTCCCCTACGCTATTCATGGCGGCGGAGGCAGTAGCGGCGCACTTTGATGTCGTCACTCAAAAGTGCGTCCCTCGGCTTTACGTGAGGACGCCCTACGGCGACCGAAGAGAGAAATGTGGGCGCGGGCGGTGAGGTTTGGCCTTCGGTCCTGGGTGGCCTGGCGCCGGGGTTTCACCTCCAAGGCAGATCCTCAGGTAAAGGCCGGGGGCGTTTAAGCGGGTGGCGAAGCAAGTCAGGACTCGATACCCTCATTCTCCACCTCATTCCCCCCAGGGTAACGGCCGGGTCTCGGCCCAGGTGATCGAGCACCTGGAGCGTCTGGCGCTTGTGGACTTTGGCAGCCAAGAGGCCGTGGCACGGCTGGAGAAAGCCATCGCCTTTGCCGACCGGCTCCGCGCCGTGGACACGGGTGGGGTGGAGCCCATGGAATCTGTACTGGAGGACAGGTAAATACTCGCGGCTGCGCGCCCCGAAGCTTTGCCGGTGGCGCCTTCGCAGGCATTTGAGGTGGCGATTATTAGTGTCTATTCACAGAAGCGAAAAGAGCTTTAGCGAGATGCACGAACTTGCCACGGTCACCCCACGGGTTAAGTGGTTTCATGCTTTCTTTTGTTCATTTTGGATCCTATCACTCCCGTTTGAAGTCCTCGAGGCCTCCCAGTATGATGAGGAACCATAACCATCGCTTTTGAGGCCCTACTTTACAGAGTCCCTACCTTCCATTAGACATACTGCTCTTTTACTCCAGCCACATTAGCTTCGTTACTGTTTCTCCAACGTGCCCAATTTGTTTCTTCTAGGATCTTTGCGTTTGCTATTCCTCTTTTCTTGGACAGCCTGTTTCCTTGTCAGGTCTTAGTTCATCTCCTCTGGAAGGCTTCTCCTCCAAATATCCTCTCCCTTAACAGTCACCGCTCTTGATCCTGTTGGATTTTCTTCCATTTCTTATTTTTGTTGATTTGTCTCTTGTGCTTATGTTTGACTTGCTCGTTGGATTCCTGTCTCAAAATATGGCTTATACATATTTTCTGACCTAGTGGTTCCCTATGGAAACATATGTAAAAGTACATTAAGATGTATGCACAGGTGTTCAGGGCTTTGTTTATAATACAAAACAAAAAACAACAAAACACTCCCAAGAAGGAGCAACTTCAGTTGGTAGAGCATGCAGTGATCTCCAGGGTATGATTTGGAGCCCCACTTGGGGTAAAGTTTACTTAAATTAATTTAAAAAAATATAACCCCCCAAACAGAAACAGTTTAAGTGTTCTTCATGGTTAAATACATCGTATTTGACAATTTTTAAAAAAGATTTTATTTATTTGTTCATGAGACACAGAGAGAGAGAGAGAGAGAGAGGCAGAGACACAGGCAGAGGGAGAAGCAGGCTCCATGCAGGGAGCCCAATGTGGGACTCAATCCCGGGTGTCCAGGATCACCCCCTGGGCCAAAGGTAGCGCTAAACTGCTGAGCCACCCGGACTGCCCCAACAATACTTTAATACATAATCTATTTGATATATTCTGGTGTATGCATTAAGTTTTGTTCCCTCAGAGCATGCAAGAAACTGTTAACAATGATTAATTTTAGAGAAAGTGGAATGCAGAGGGAAGTTCTTACTTTACACTTTATACTGAGGGGCAAAACACAAATACCTAAAGGACCAGAGTAATAACACAAGAAGTGAGGTGGTGTAGTGCGATAGGGAGGGGCAGGTCTTTGACAAAGTAGTTTGTGAATGTTATACTAAAAGGGTGCAGCCTCTCCCCACTTCTACCAATTTTTGCCAAATCTTAATACATTTTTAAAGAAAATGCTCTTTTTTTGAAAAGCAGAGTGTTTGCTGTTTGGGGACTACAGTTTCTTGGGAAGGATGGGTATGTACTTCATAAGACCAGCAGTCTACAGCTCTGTCCAACCCCCCCCCCTTTTTTTTTAAGATTTTATGTATTCATTCATGAGAGACACGGAGAGAGGCAGAGAGAAACATACTCCTCACGGGCAGCCCAATGTGGAACTTGATTCCAGGACCCTGGGATCACGACCTGAGCCAAAGGCAGATGCTCAACCACCGAGCCACCCAGATGCCCCTGTCTTACCCTTTCCTTGGTGGGGTATTTTAAAAAAGATTTATTTATTTTAGAGTGTGGCACATGGCATGGTGTGGGGAGGAACAGAGAGAGAAGGGAACAAGCTGACTTCCCACTCAAGAGGGAGCCTGATTTGGGGCTTATTCCCAGGACCACAAGATCATAACCTGAGCTGAAAACCAAGAGTCAGAGAGGTTCAACCGATCCACCCATGTGCCCCCTTGATAGGATTAAAAAACATTCTTGGGGAACCTGCGTGGCTTAGTCAGGTGTCCAACTCTTGACTTTAGCTCAGGTTTTTTTTTTTTTTTTAAGATTTTATTTATTTATTCATGATAGACATAGAGAGAGAGAGAGAGGCAGAGACACAGGCAGAGGGCCCCATGCAGGGAGCCCGACGTGGGACTCAATCCTGGGACCCCAGGATCACACCCTGGGCCAAAGGCAGGCGCCAAACCGCTGAGCCACCCAGGGATCCCTTTAGCTCAGTTTTTGATCATGGGGTATGAGTTTGAGCCCCAGTGGGCTCCATGCTGGGCATGGAACCTACTTAAAAAAAAAAAAAAAAAAACTCAATATAGATGGTATAGATGGGAACAAAAGAGATTAGCTGCCATTAGCACCAATAAGGAGAGCCAGACCTATCTGTAATCATAACCTCTTTGTAAAGTGCTTGCTAGCCTCCCATCCTCACCTCCAGTCTTTGGTTCCTTTATATTCTTTATTTTGTAATCTGATGCTCAGATCTACAGAAGTCCAACAGTTTCTCAAAATTACATAGCACTTCAAAATAGAAATCTGAGGTCATCTCCTACCCAAGCTCTTTGGTACCTCTCCAGTGTTCTTTAGGATGAAGACAAAAGCTCCACCTGGGTGGCTCAATGGTTTAGCATCTGCCTTTAGCTCTGGTCATGATCCAGGGGTTGTGGGATCGAGTCCTGCATTGGGCTCCCTAGAGGGAGCCTGCTTCTCCCTCTGCCTGTGTTTCTGCCTCTCTCTTTCATGAATAAATAAAATCTAAAAAAAAAAAAAAAAAAAAGCTCCACCATATTTGAGTAATATTTGACTCTCCCCCTCTCTTACTGCTCATCCAAATTCCAGGGAGCAATACTGTCTGTTATTACTCATTATATTCTCAGTATCTAACACTGAGCACTCAGTAAATGTTTGTTGAATGTTCTTTAAAGATACTACTTATTAGGGAGAGAGAGAAGGGAGGGCGGAGCAAGTAGTAGTAAGAGTCTCAAGCAGACTGCACACTGAGTGTAGAGCCCAGTGTGGGGCTCAATCTCACAACTGTGAGATCACCACCTGAGCCAAAATCAAAGTCCGATGCTTAACCAACTGTGCCACCCAGGCACCCCATTGAATGTTCTTTATTAGTATCCTTGGGAAAGGAGGGAATAGAAGCACAAAGAGGAGACAATTTCCGAGATCACGTAGAGGGAAGCCATAAAGGAACTCCACTATTGCTCAGAGAAGAGTTTGAAAAAGATGAAGAGGGATTTGGATTTGGTAGCTGGAATAGTGACTTCATATTCAGTGATCTGCAGTCTTCCCATAAACTTGGAAAACAGTTTGAGTTAACTATTCCATTTTAGAGATGTAGCACTTACAGGACTGTTGTTTTTAAAAATATTTTATTTATTCATGAGAGAAACATAGAGGGAGAAGCAGGCACCTCACAGGGAGCCCCATGTGGTACTCGATCCCTGGACCTGGGATCACGCCCTGAGCCAAAGGCAGATGCTCTACTGCTGAGCTACCCAGGCATCCCAGGACTGTTGTTTTTTTATTAACATATTGCCTCACTAATGTTTGAAATGGAACCCAGTTAAGACAAGTGTTAAACCATTTTAGGCCACACTAGATGTAAAAGCACTGACTGGCTATTAGAAATCTCTTGGCCCATTAAAACCCTGTTGGTTTTAGCTAAAAAACCATTTAGTGCCCTTAGTGTCAGGTGCTAAGATTTTATATGCATTGTCTCAATTATCACATACAACTCTGGAAGGTAAATACTAGTATCTCCTTTATTATTATTATTTTTTTTATTTTTTAAAAGATTTTATTTATTTAGGCTCCATTCCATGCAAGGAACCTGACGTGGGACTCGATCCTCGGTCTCCAGGACCACACCCTGGGCTGAAGGCAGCGCTAAACCGCTGAGCCACTGGGGCTGCCCTAGTATCTCCTTTATAAATGAAACTGAGGCTCAGAAAGTTTATCTAATATGCCCCAAAGTTTCACAGGTGTAGTTAAGGAACCCAGAACTTGAAATATATATATTTTACTTATTCAGAGAGACACAAGAGAAAGAGAGGCAGAGACACAGGAAGAGGGAGAAGCAGGCTCCATGCAGGAAGCCTCATGTGGGTGGGACTCGATTCGGGTCTCCGAGATCAGGCCCTGAGCCAAAGATAGATGCCCAACCGCTGAGCCACCTAGGAGTCCCACAAATACTGTTCTAGATATGCTGTGTAAAAATCAACCCTAGGGCAGCCCTGGTGGCGCAGCGGTTTAGCGCCGCCTGCAGCCGGATGTGATCCTGGAGACCCGGGATCGAGTCTCACGTCGGGCTTCCTGTATGGAGCCTGCTTCTCCCTCTGCCTGTGTCTCTGCCCCTCTCTCCCTCTGTCTCTATGAATAAATAAAATCTTAAAAAAAAAAAAAAGTTAACCCTAGAACCTTTATTTTCTCCCATTTCAACTCTGACTCAGATGAGGACCTATGGCCAAATATTTCAGTATTTAGGGTGTCCTTCAGAATCTTATACGAGGGGATCCCTGGGTGGCGCAGCGGTTTAGCGCCTGCCTTTGGCCCAGGGCGCGATCCTGGCGACCCGGGATCGAATCCCACGTTGGGCTCCCGATGCATGGAGCCTGCTTCTCCCTCTGCCTGTGTCTCTGCCTCTCTCTCCCTCTCTGTGTGACTATCATAAATAAAAAATAAATAAATAAAAAATCTTATATGAACCAAATCATCTTTTTTTAAAAAAAGGTTTTATTAAAAAAAAAGATTTTATTTATTCATAAGAGACACAGATAGAGGAAGAGAGAGAAGCAGTCTCCTTGTGGGGAACCTGATGTGGGACTCTGATCCCAGGATCATGACCTGAGCCAACGACAGACGCTGAACCACTGAGCCACCCAGGTGCCCCTGAACCAAAAATTCTTAGCCTCTTAACTCTCATTCCAGTCTGCATAAAACTAGAAATTCATTAGGAGGGAGGGAAGAAGCTTGTAGATAGAAATAGAGTGGTGCCCAGAGAAAGGACTCCTGGCAGCCCGACACCAGCAGCAGAGCTGTCCTATCTGGTCAGTCCAAGGGTCAATAAGCACTTCTCTAGTGCTGCCACAATGCTCTCCATTAAATTGCTTTTTATTAGAATTTCCTGCAGTTACTGGTTAAAGTGCTTTGTTAGCTTTAGAGGACAGGGATTCCTAGTTCACAGAAGCCTTCCTCAACCAGGAATTTTCATCTGAACCAGAACACATAAAAACTCAAGTGATTTTTTTTTCAGTACTTTCCAGGATAGTACATAATTAATATTAGCCCATAGTTGATTTATTATCAGAATGGGTGTCCTATAGTATTTGAGCCAAATTCTCTTGTAGAACTCTGTGAAAGATGAGGTGAGGTTCAGTGTAATTGATCAGCACCTAAGGGGTTCATCTGGTCCTGTTTGGAGTTTTTTTTTTTTTGCGTGATTCTGAGTTAAGCAATTTTCCAAGTGAACCACTGATGTTCACCCTCAGAGACCCTGGGTTCAATAGCCTATGATTATGAAAATAGGAAGGTGGGGATCCCTGGGTGGCGCAGTGGTTTGGCGCCTGCCTTTGGCCCAGGGCAAGATCCTGGAGACCCGGAATCGAATCGGGTTCCCGGTGCATGGAGCCTGCTTCTCCCTCTGCCTATGTCTCTGCCTCTCTCTCTCTCTCTCTGTGACTATCATAAATAAATAAAAATTAAAAAAAAAATAGGAAGGTGTGGGTTTCTTCTGGAAACAGCTCCATCATAAACAGCAATTAAGTGAAAATGTGTGGTATTTAAAGGAATTTCTTCTGGAAACATTACTTATATAGGAAATCTGATTATCAAATGAGTGAATAAATCAACTGCTATTACATCTACTGTGAGGAAGCAGTACCTTTTAAACACCTGTTGGTGGTAGTAGAGTCTCACTTCATCAAACTCTAAGAGCCCAGGAACTATGAGCAGCCTCCACTATGTAGGGACTAGGCAGGAAGTTCATGACAGCAGGTTAAGTGCGTAGGTATACTCTGAATGAGGAGTGGGAACTGAGCTGTGCCCAGGTGCACTAACTTTCTGAAAGGAGCAGGTGCTATTTAGCACCCACCTCTTATTGCAGTGAGAATATAGGCCCTGGATTATCAGTTCTTTAACATTCCCAGAAGTTCTATGAAGCAGTCCACAAATAAGGAAACAGATACATGGAGAGGATAATTTGCACAGTGCCATGTGTGGCACCAAGATTTGAATTCACCTGTGACTCAGGAGCCCAAGTGTTAGCCATTTTGTTAGACCGCCCAGCAGAAATATAAACTCCAGAAGGTCCAATGGTCACCTTTACAGATGATTTTTATTTTGTTCTCCAAGTTTTCATAAGCTCCCATATTGTTTAAAAAAAAATCAAGCACAACCTTCACTTTTTTGGCAAGGAAGTCAAGGTCTGGAATGATCCATACTTGTTCAAGGCCAGAGTTAAAAGACAGTGCCAGGTCCTGGAACTGACTGCAGTTTTCTACAGTCCATACCATGAGTGCTTATTGTGTCTAGCCCTAGGGTGGGTGCCACAAAAGAAACAGAACTAGTCCTTTCCTAAAAGAATCATCATGACAACTTAACCCTCTGCAGCCTTTGCCTGGATGTTCATGTCACGTCCTTGCCCTTCTGTCCTGTTAGTTAAGCCCTCAGTCTATGTCTAGCTCAAAGCAGAAAGACCTTGGCTGCTCCCCTATCAGTGACTGAGCAGACTGCTTATTTTTCAGCCCATATATCTGGAAGCAGGCTCTGACATATTGCCATGCACTTTTAAACCTTGAAATAGCAGTGAAGCCCCATAGGTTATGTTCAACTCCTGTTTGGTTTCACTAATTCACCATCTGGACGCTTTAATGAAGCCACTAAGCCCAGAGAAGAATGGAAGATTCTTGAGCTGTCAAGGGCAGGCCCTCCATGTCCACAAAAATGGCTGCAGTGAAAAAACAGCTCATCTTAGGGGTATGAAACTGTGCTAATTCCAGTCCTGACACTGAGGACCTAATATCCTTAAGTCATTTATAACCACTCTTGAGCAAGTTTCTTCACCTGCTGGAAGTCCATTTCCCATCCCAATCCAGAGGTTTCTTGCCCACCCTTTAGCAATGACACCACTTATTTTAAATACCTATTCCTCATCCAGGCTGGTTTAGGTGCCCCTTCTTACTCCCTTGGCAAGCTTCGCTTACCTGTTAGACTTAACACATTGTGCTGTAATTGCCTTACCTGTCTCCTCCAGAAGCAGCTTACCCATTGTAATCATGCAAAAATATTTATTGAACATATTGGTCCTGAGGAATAATTACCACTTACCTGAGTGGTTGAGAATCTATGGAGATTATTTGGTCAACTGCTGACCATAGCTCCTCCATCATTGAGCAGTGACTATAACTCATTTTCTCTCATTCTTGACCCTCTCCACCCAATGCCCCAGAAGCTTGTTTTCTGAAGGTAACCTTGAGCTTCTGGTTTTGTAGATGTCTGTATTTGAGATCTGACAATGTGGTAGAAGGCAACTGTGCTGAAGAACTACTACAAAATGCCCATCGAGTTGTGGAGGAATATTTTGTGGCACCCCCAGGTATGTGTTGCCCAAAGTAGTTTAATAGACTGTACCTAAGTGAACCAAGAATATAAAGTATAGGTCCAAATTTGCAACATGAAAGTACTTTAAGATGTATAATGTGTGAATTAGGTGAAGGTGGTCAAAATTTACAAACTTCAATGTATAGCAGAATGACTATAGTTAATACTGTATTCTGTATTTGAAAGGTGCTCAGAGGTAATCTTAAAAGTTCTTATCACAAGGAAAAAACTGTATTTGAGATGATGGATGTTAACTAATCTTGTTCTGGCGATCATTTTGCTATATATATTAAGTCTGTACAACTTAATGTTGCATGTCAATTATCTCAATAAAAGTGGAATGAAAAAAACCCACATATATTAAGTGGAAAAAAAAAAAAAGTAAGGTGGTGGCAGTAGAGTCAAAGGGTCACACTCACCTTTAGGAACCAGTCTGTAATAGGAATGAGCAAAACAGGACCAGGGTGGGGAGGAATGTATAGTGTACCAAATCCTGAGCTCGAGCTCTGCCTAAAGGGGCAATTAGTACTCACTGCTGCTCATTCAGTGCCAGGCAGTAATATGAGCCCATTCTCCCTGAGAACCTGGACATCTGGCATTTTTATGTGCATATGGTATTTCCAAATTTTAAGTATGGGAACTAATTCAAAGATTTTTAAAAAAATAAAATACCATGTAAATAAAACATACCTGCAAGCCAGATGCATCCTGTGAGCCATCAGCTTAAAACCTTGGTGTTGAGATTTGCATCTTTAAAATTTACTGTGACTATTTTAAATGAAAACTTAAAAGTAACTCTGGGCTAATACTAAAATCCAGAATCTTGGGTGGGTTGAACTGTTTATTGCCTCTGCAGATAGATGTGTTTTCCAAACTGCTGGACCCTTCTGGATATTTGGGAATGGGACTAGCTTGAGCACTCAGGTAGGTGGTTTTCCAAGTACCACCTTCAGGTTCAGGAGATCACCTCAGAAAACCATTTTAACTAGCCTTGGAAACAAACATGAGCCCCTCGGCTCAGGGGTTACCTCTTTGATCAAGACCAGCCAATTAAAGGAAAGCTTTGCTTGAAGCAAGGATGGGAAAGAAAGCTTAAAAATTGTGCACTCAACTCTTAATCATGCTTCTGATTCACTAAAGCACCTCAAATTAACCGTGAAAGAGATAAAAAGATTTTATAATCTCTCAGAGTCTGACAGTTGTCGCTATTTTAGCAGACATATCCATTGATCACATATGCTATTTCTCAAAAAGAATTCTATGTCAGACTTTGCTTCTGGAGACAAAGTGAATTCATAATCATTAGTCTTTCCTTCCACTCCTATATGCATATAACTGTGTCTGCTCCTTATTGAAAAGTGTGCATTTATTAGGCTTCACTCACAACTGTTATTCTTCCAGGTAAGTCGGAAAAACAATAACTATACTTTAACTATACTTACTTGCATTGCTTATTTTTCATGACAAACCAAGTGATAAGTTAGCTCAGTAGAACCAGTTGGAAAGCAGGCTCAGCTATAACATTCTTTTTTGTTACTGTTTTCAAACAGGTAATATCTCTTTGCCAGAGCAGGATGAGCAAGAGCCTTTTTCATACAACTGAGTAGCTATTTTGGGAAGGGGTACCCTGTGAACATGTGAAAGCCCAAAGATAGTATTTTTATTACTGTGAACAGGAATATGCCCACTTTCTTCAGTCACCTGAAAAAAACTGTTAAGTATTTTTTAATAACTAACTCTCTGAAGACAGAATTGGGAAATATCTAGCCAAAACAAGGCAATGAGTTCCTGCTGCTACTGGATGTAAGAGGTATTGTTACTTTCCGAGGAAATGGATCAAGTATTTTATTCACAGACTGTTCAGTGTGTAAGATGTTTTCCTTCTTTATCTCTTCCCAAACAGACTACCAAACTGCACTTAAATGAATTTTTCTATTGATGTAACTATAGACAATGCATCTGATCACTATGTGAAAATCTGTGTTGTACTTTTTAGTTGCTATTTCTATCAATCCAAGAAACCTTGTATCTTTACTAAACAAACTCGAATTTGTTCCTGGGTGCCCACTTTGTTCCCAGCAGAAGGCTAACTTTCTCCTAATATCTGAAGAGTATTCAAAGTAGACTCTACAGCTTGGCAACTCCTAACCTACAATCATCCACTATCCCACAAAATGATTACATGCAAAAGGGATGCTAGCCACAGCTACAGTTTTTCTGAAAAGAACTTATGACAAAAACAGCCCTGGGGTAGCTAACAGTGCTATGTTGTACACTAAAAATTTGCCAAGAGAGTAGATCTTATATTAAATGTTCTTAACACAAGTCTTAAAGAAGTAAGGAGGAAAGTTTGGGAGGTGATGGATATGTTTATAGCCTTGATGGTGGTGATGCTTTCATGGGTATACACTTAACCCCAAACTCACTAAATCGTATACATAAAATAAGTACAACTTTTTACATGTTAATCATAATTCAATAAAGTGGCTTTTTAAAAAAGCCCCAGGCCTGGAACACAGTAGCTTCCCCATCCCTGCCACAATTACTAATGGAGTAGAATCTAAGAGTTTTCTGGTTTGTTTTGTGTTTTAAGAAAGCTCAAATACCAAGGATAAGTGAAACAGATTTAGGGGTAAAAGTGACAAAACCAAAATTTAAGCATATTTTTTTCCCCTCCAAACTGCCACAGTGGGTTTTGTTTAAGAGTCTTCCAATGATCTTTATGCTACTGCTGACTTTACAGTCTATTTTATTCTTATATTCCTTTACCCTATCTTAAATGCTCCCTCTTCTTTAAGGCAGCTTCATTTATAAGCTTGGCTTTGCATTCTAAGATAACCCTGACGGGACTCTTGGGATTGAGATTCTCAAACTACTGTCATAGCAACTGTCTTTGTTCCCAAATAAAGTTATCCATTCCTGCTCCTTACCTATTGGGTACAAGCTGCCGCTACAACTCAATGACTTTTTTTCTTTTTAATCAGTGTGCCTGTTTGGTGAAATCTATTAACTTAATCAAGGACAACCACACATATCAATTACTAAACGTTTAAAATATATTTCTAAACAGAATGGGCCGACTCAGTCACAGTAACTGCTGATCTCCATAGTAGAGCAACCCACAAAGACACAGCACTGATTTTTTTTTTCCCATAATCCAGGGTGAAAAATATACAACTTATTTCTGAACCAAAACCACAATTTCTGCAGTTTAAAATGCTTCACTGCCAATATGGCCCTGGTAGAAATTATGTATTTCCTTAAAAAAAAAATTAAAAAAATTTCCTAGGACACTAAATCATCAATCTGGAATGTAGATTCTGAGCACAAAGCAGCTCAGTTCACCTAAAAAATAAAGAAAAATTTCCCATCACCTGTCTCAGTAGGGCCTGAAAGGAGAGAAGTAGTGTGGGGAACCCCTGCTTTGGTATGGAGAGTCACGGCCCCTTGACCCAGACCGAGACCGTGAGTAGCCATAGCTGGTGCTTCTCTCTGGATAAACTCGGATGTAGGAAGTTTCACCCTGAAATTCAAGCAAAAAGAGTAAAGGAAAAAATAAGACCCAGAGAAATAAAGCGCACTAAAACTTAACACGACTGCCTAACAATAATAGTTAAGTACTGAGCACTTACTGTTTGGCATCATGTTCTCATTAAACCCTCACAATAATGCTATAAGGTAGGTATGCTTACCAGCTTATTTCAAGAATGAGGAAAACAATGCTCTTATCTCTTCCAGGGTGATACCAATAATAGCAACTTCACATGTATTAAATGCTCAAATACTAGCCATTACTGTAACATATCTGAATTATTGCCACTGACCCCTGAATCTAAGAACTAACTAGAAAGGATCTCAGAGGTCATACACTGCAATCCCCTGCCACCGCATATGTGCATCTTTGGATGGCTACCTATGGAAAAAGCTAACCTGTATTCATCACCTCTCAGGTGTCAGGACCTGGGTTAGTTACTCAGTTATCTTAAGTTAGCTTCCCAGCAAGTCTTATGAGACAATGCTATTGTTCTTATTTTGCAAAATGAGGAACCAGCATTCAGAGAATAGCTCAGCTAAGAAATTATTAAATGGCAGAGGAGTCATGTCCAGGCTGGCCTCTCTTCAGGCCCTTTGCCCTCAGCCAACACTCTCAGAGAATCTAAAGATATTAAAAGGAAAGAAGTCTGATGCAGAATTCCCTAGGTGAAGTCAGTTAATTGTATTTATCCTTACTGAGGGCCCTACTTTGCAGTTTAACAGGACCCGATCCTGTTTTGTTTCTGCTCCAAATTCAGTCTGAGCAAAAGTACTGTTAAGCCATGCACTTTCCAAGCGATACAATCAAGGAATTATATGAACCCTTAGAAAAGGAAATGGACCCCAGATGAATCTAGACCTCATGGTAAGTTAGGACGAGATAACCAGAAAAAAATAACGTCCAGTCGGTCTGCTGGCTGGTCTCGGTATTAAAGGGATAGTTAACATGTGAATCAGACTGAAAGATCTAAAGCAGCAGCTGCCTTCTCCAAAGGAAAGACATCAAGAATTAAGTCCTGAGGATAAGGTGATTACAAGAAAATGCCAAAGTGACTAATGTTGCAAAGAGGATCCTGCATTACTCTGGGAAAGGAAGAATGAAGTGACCTCTTCGCCCAACAGCGGTATCTGGAAGAGCTGAGATGATGAGGTTGGGTTGAAGGGCTCAGACTAGACCCAGAGAAAGGACAACCATAATAATTAGGTTCACAGAGGTACATTGCAGATCAAGCCAGTTGTGAAAGGGATGGTATCACAGAATAGCTCACCACATTATGACAGACTGCACCAGTATTCTCTCTGGGTTAAAAATACTATGACTGCAGACTTCTCTGTTATGACCCTGCAGGGTTTAGGCATGATGAATTTCTTGGCTTTGTCCATTTAAGATAGATCCTTAATGGTACTGTGAGGTCATCAAATGGTAAACACATGGCCTATTGCTACTTCTGCTAGGTCAGCTTCAGATGGAGTGGCCTAGGTGAAAGCTCAACAGAAGGTGGGAACCCACCTCATGAGAGCGGAATTTGGTGTCATCCAGTTTACGCAGGGCGTATTCCATGTCTTCTTTTCTGAGATATTCAACCATCCCCATTCCATCCTTCTGCACATCTGCATAACAGACGTCCCCAGCTTCTCGCATATGATCCTTCAGGTCCTGCCAGCTGCCTGATGGTGGAAGTCCTAGGCATAGACAACATAAGAGAAGAGGCCATATCCTTCAGCCATGTTAACTGACCTGTTAAGAGCCAGCAATACCTAGGGTCCCTTTTCCATCAATCACTACTTTCAGATCCTGAGGATCCACAAATCACAAATCATAAAGGGCATAAAACCAGACAAGAGTACTAAAGTATGTGTGGTAAACCATTATAAGACACTAGTCCTAGGCTAATCTTCCAGAGACCAAGTCCTTGCAACAGAGCAAAGAGTCCACTCCATTACAGGTGTAGCATTTGTGAGAATTCACAGCCTTTCTTTATCCTTCACATTTAATATCAAATTCCCAAGAAGGTTTCATAATGTTTTCCGTTATGAAATTTATCAGTACCAATTATCTCTTGCTTGACTAGGTTCTCAGAACATGGGACTTTTGAAACTATCCAATGAAGGAACCAAGGCATAGCTGAAGGTGACAACACAACAAAAATCTAGTTTGTTTTCCTGTAGGTGTGAATGACTGACAAACCAGACAAAGTACCTTTTAAAAGATCACCAACATTCTTCAATACAATGGGGGAAAAGGTAAGACTCAGACGCTACAACTAGTTGGGAATTATACAACCCTACCTGATGTCATGAAAGGGAAATGTGCTCCTGCTCTCAAAGGCTGTGTTTACCGCTCACAGCTCAGGACTGCAGCCATTTCCTAATAGTTTTCTAAGCAGGATTTCAGAGCAGCATGGAGAGAAAAAAAGATATGTATGACATCCTGAAGGAGGGAATAGAGTTCTGGGGTTAAAAAATTACAAAGGGACACAAGATAGGCAGATACGAGGAGGATCACTGTTAAGTACCAAGGGAATCTGCTGTTAACTGTGTGACATTCCTATCTAAGAAAGTGCCAGGTTTCTCAATACATTTCAATCCATCGTGGTCCTAAAATGCCCATGCAATGTGCAGAAGGCCCCAGGTCTTTACCACTGAATTAATCTTTTGAAAAGATGCATAAACCTGAGCTTGGCATTTCACTGCTTGTCAACATTAGACATTTCATTCTATATTCTGCAATATAAGCCCTAAAACTCCAAGTTGTTTTGTTTTCTTTTTTCTATAATTCCAAAGCCACTACCTAAATCTGACCATTTTCAGGATCCAATGCTTGGCAGTAAATCTGGTTCCTGGAATGTCTAGCAAGTCTGATACTGAGTATATTCCAAAAGGAAACATCTCTATAGAATTCTAGCTCACGGGGTTTTGCCACCATCTTCCCTCTCAACACTAGAAAACTCCTTCATAAGAAGCAAGTTTATGTTCTACCAAGGCTGCATGACTGATGCAATTTCATTTGCAAGATGCCTGCCTCAGTGGCAACATAGCAGGACTGCAGACTGTGCACAGGATATTGAAAGGAAAGCCGCACATGTCCCATGTACTGAAGGGTAACAGCTAACATTTCTTGGAGACCAGACTGTGTGCTGAGTATTTTACATGCATCAGTTCATTCAGTTCGAAAGGAACATACCTGAAACAAGAACTCGGAAATCAGATCTTCTTGTAGGAGGCCCATTCCTCCCACCGCGGGGCCACCCACCCCGACTGCCATAAGTCCTGGGGAACTCCACACGAAGTCGACACTGGCCATAATCATAACCATTCCTCCCATAAATTGCATCTTCAGCATCTCTGCAAAGAAAAGTTTGGAGTTAGTGCTGACTGACCAGTAAGAGCCCTGAGTAACAAGTATAAAAGGGAAACCTGGAGTGAGAA